TTCCGGGTTTTAGAGATTCCGGCTTTTAGTATTCCGGGTTTTAGAGATTCCCCATTTTAGTATTCCGGGTTTTAGCATTCCCCATTCCCCGTTCCCCGATTCCTTTCCCCGATTCCCCATTCCTTGTTATAGTAATAGCCTTTAAAGAAAGGCTTCATGTGTACGTAACTTCATAGGTCGCCAATAATCTTTGAGGACCTGTCACCAATGTCATGAATGAATGAAAGGTTTAATTTAAAAATCAGTTATTCTGCTGGTGGCAACAGATTCGAACAGCACAGACCTTAATAAGCACGTACCTAATATACGAACACGTTTTGTAATTGGTTTTCTGAAACAAGTTTGTGAATCAGTTCTTTAGAAATATGATTTGTACTGTATAGTTTAGTTCTTGATAGGGTCTGTTCATGATCAGTATACTACGATATCCAACGAGATCAGTTCAAGCCATCAACTGATCTCAAGTAAACTGGATAGACCCTACCAAAAATGAAGCCAATTCGAGCGAGATCGAAATGAACCAAAAGTACGTTTACAAGGAACTGGACGAATCCGAAATACTGTGGGAATCTGCACTTGGATTCGTTTCGGTCCATGCGACCCCGTGTGAACCAGTGGTGTGGACTTGCAAGGTATCATGCAAATTTAAGTACACGTCGCAAAATTCATTGGTTCGCATGAGGGCTGAGGTGCGGCATTCGGCCAGGGTTGGCAACAAGCCATTCAATGCAATACGTGTCTTTTGTTGTGTCTGGCAAAGTACTTTTTTCCGTTCGGAAGTTAAACCCTGACGAAAATTCCGTTGTGCAACTTCACCTGAGTTTTCACCATAAATTGGACACCTTTTCACCTTCTGATGTACTTTCACGGCAAAAGCGATAATACCACGAGAAATAGGTGTTAATATGTACTTCATTCTGCCCACGGTAATCTATTAACCGTGTTCTGCCTAATGCGCCAAAGCCCTTTATACCGTTAAAATTGTAGATGCTGAACGTCGACTTTTGAATTTTATGAATTTGAGAACTGAAAAAGATTGAAGAAACGAAAGCAAAATAAAAGCTCTTTCAAAAACAACTAACGGTATTAAAACTCTTTCGAGCGCAATTACTATGAGCGTTATGTTTAAAATGGATTGGGATTTTCACAAATTATATCTTGCTCATATTCAAAAAGTAGCATTGATAATTACTGGCAAAATACGTCGAAAGATGGGAATTCAAACATGTGATCGGCTTCAAAATGTCGGAGAGTCTTTGAGCTTCAAAAGGCCATCTGTTGAAGTCATTTCACTGTGCAAATAATACCGAATTCTTTTATATATGTCGGAAGTTATGAAATATATTTCAGTTATTAAAACAATTAAACACTTGGGAATATATGTTGTCAATTTAATAACATATACAGTATTAACATGTCCATCTCAAGCTGCAAATATCCTAAGACGCCGGTCTTGGGGTCTCGGGATTTTTGCAGCCAATATTCTGTAGTATATTGCCCTATTTTATCCAATTACAATTATACACTTCTAAAGTAGATTGGGTACTGTCGCTTCGGCGAGTCTTTAGCCAGTAGCCATGGAAAAAACGCGAATTATAAATCCTAATCCACTTCGTAATGTAAAGGCTCCATAATAACATAATATCCGACACAGCGGAAATTGGCATCTTTTTAAACGGATATGACGTCACACCACACCTTTCTTATTGGACAGGAGCTCCGCCCCCCGCGGCAATTACGTCAGCTTTAAATTAGGAAATCGAAAATGAGAATGTTATGAGAATTTAGGAAAGTAGGTTTTAATTAATCAGAATTAATCTATTTTAGTTCGTTTGAAGTGATAGTTTTGATTTAGATTCTTGTTGAATTTACGCTTCGAACGTGGAATTCGAGTTTAGAGTTTGCAATAGATGAAGTATAGTTAAAATAGAAGCGTTTTAAAAAACCTTCGTGTGATTAACTTCCAAATTCCCATTACCGTGAAGAGGAAAGTGGAAACGGGCGAATCAGAAGGGAGGGTTGGGGAAGCAAAGTTTCTCTGGCCTTCTCACGGCTTCACTGGTTTTAATATTGCAGCCTATGTGTTACTACAAATAGCACATATTGTCACTTGCAGCTGTTGGGGAAAGAACGCTCTAACTGGTGGGTAAAAATAGATTTCTGAATTTTTATTTCCGTCATAAATAGAGTTTAAACATTCGCCCTAAATCCCTGTATTATTAGCAAAGGATACAGGTATATTTCGTCTGGCTTTCGCTTGCTTATTATTGCGTTTGCAATTCGTAGCACTAACAGATGTTCGTGTGAAAATTTCGCTGACTTTTCATGTACGCATTTTCGTTTCATCATATTGCTAGCTTAATATATGTAGTTTGTGTACTGAATCGGAGGACGTTTACCTAATTTCTACTATATATTTAAAAGGAATACAAATTGGTTTAAAATACCAAACGAGAGGTCGGATTTTTATGAGCGGGTACTCGATGAGCTAGTTGCATCCGCAGTTCGTATTTTTATATTTAGAGTTTCCTTACGTTGGATTTTCACTCTAAATTTAGACACGTCCCGTACCATGGCTCCATGTTTAATCGCGTGTGTGTATCATTAAAAGTGTATCATAAACCGTAGAAATATATAGTTTATTTTGCCAAACATCGCAGACTTGGCAACGAGTATATATTTATGACATCGTGTGCCCTGTGTTATGATCACAGTCGATACTTTTGTTTGTGTAAAATTATCGTTAATGTTCCTGTATAAAAAGAGGCGATTCTACTTTTAGATGCTGATATTTTTAACTTCATACATGTATTTTAGACTGGGTCAAAGGTTGACCAATTCTTATCGCGTAGTTCGTAGGCAATAAGATACAAAATATTTCGTTGGCTCGGCCAGTGTGTTAGTGTGTGATTTTGAATTCCTACTGTAGATTTGTTCCTCAAATTTCGCGTGCCAAACGTACAATTGATCTCGCGAACAGTTACATTACTATTATATTAATGTAATAATTTATTATCGTACAATAAAACACGTATACTGTCGGAAACGATTTACCACGAAACGGGTTTATACATTCGATATAATTTATTCTAATTCGTTGGAACACGAAATAAAAGCCGAGTGACTTGTACCTGGTCTAAACACCTAATGTTTATATAATATTATTCTAATGGTTTTTGCATACACGCGCTAAAATACACATTTGTAAAGCTTAGCCAAGAAGCAATGTTTTATTTTAAAGCGATTTCGAGCAAAAGTCTGCAAGAAAATTGCAGAAACGTCTGCTTTTCCCCACACAAAGTTCGAATTCCGAATGGACTGCTATTACATCATTTTATTAACACGTAATAATATGAGCACATGAGCTTACTCGTATTAATGGCAAATGATAGATTTGTAAAGTTCACTTAACAAATTCGGCTGTGTATTTGAAAATTAAAAGATTTTGGAAGGTTTGTGGTACGGTATATTTTTTAAACACCCGGCTGTATTAATTTCTCCCACGAGTCGAAATGAAATCCGTCAAGTAAATTTTGACATATCGCATTTTTTGATCGACATAGAATGTTTGTCTAATTGTAAACATCGTCTATTCCTTATACAGGACTGTTGTTTAAAGAAATCCGCTTCGAGTTCGCGTGTTAAATTTTGGTGTGCAGAAATGGGAAGGAAAAAGATACAAATATCACGAATAGGCGACGAGCGGAATAGGCAGGTAGGTATTGAGTTAAATGTCTATTTTTATGCACTGATAATCTTTGGAACAAAATTTGCTCTTTCGCATCCAAGCCTTGAGAATGTCGTGTGCTGTTACATCTTTTTTACGCTGCATTTCAACAGCCTTATTATAGAGTGCTTTTATTTTGGGTATGTTTCTATATTCTGCCTCGCGTTGGTTCAAAATAGACTCGCGTTAAATTTTAGGCACTTCGGTCGTATTTTTATCACTGGCTAAAGTAAATACAAGGCTATTTTTGTGTCGAATTGATCAGACACGCATACTGTACTTTAGGGGAATGGCGAATTAGAAATATAGTTATACGCCGGTTGGCCTTTTACAGGCTGTGGATAAATATTCAGATGTTTTTTTTTAACAATTTTGCGGTATGTTTGAAATATTGTGTGTGCTCTTTCGCATAAGGGTTGAACTCGAGTGGCTGCGGTATTTTAATATTAATAAATAAAGTTGGGTATATTTGTTTTTCCAACTTCTTTACTCGCTACTCGCAACTTTTATAAGCAAATGTTATTAGGCTGTTATTAAATCGTAGGCGAATACACGAAATAGTGTATACGCTTATCATTTTGCTAAATTTCTTTGGGCTATTATTTAAAATCATTCAAGTATATCAGGGCAATATATTTCATTAAGCTGTTACTGTCTCATAACAATATATTAACTCTACGGGCATCGCACACACGCTAACCAAAATGATTGTGTAACATCAGTTCGAACTCATAGACCTTGGGAATTTTTACGCGAGACAACTTTGTAGTGTTTTCTGTCATCTGTGCGGGTCTGAAGTGCTCCGCCTTCATATTCTAATGTTTACGCCACGGAAGCCACCTGTACACATATTAGAAGTTGATTTCACAAAGTCTATTTGATTTTTGCGCGCGCCAATCGCGTTGATAATGTACACATGGTGTATTAAATTGGACTAATCAATTAATTTTTGGGAATCTCGCAGCGAAACGCATTTTTAGGTTCAGATTTTCAAGGTTCAATTTTTTTTTCATTTTATATTTTCAAAATTTGCTATTTACAGTAATACCGTCATTTTTATCGTATAATCCGTTCGGAAGATTTACAGAATGTAAGAATTTTTGTTGCGCATTGTCATATGTTGCAAATCTACCAAATTAGAATAGTGTTTTAATGTGTTCAGATTTCATAGCCCAGCCATGATCCAAGGCAGATTATCTTTAAATCTTTAAAGTAAATATATAAATTTCGAGCAAACGTTCCATGAAAAATCACATAAACTTTACGATTTATTTCCGAAATTCGTCTCTGAATTTATTGCAATTTCAAATCCATTTCCTAAACTTTTGAAATAAACATACATGTAGAAATAATGCACAAACCAAAACATTGGATAATACTGTCTATCATCGTATCAAACCAGGATTTATTAGTATTAACCGATCTTTGGTTTTCATGATAGGTTTAAGATATTAACTTCTTGTGGGTTTGTATAGAGATAGTTCTGTCTGTAGCAAATGCTTTTTATTTACCTTTTTTTATTTTGTGGTGTTGGATAGCGTTTTTTTTTCAACCCTTAAACCTTTGTTTATATTGAGCTGCAGTACAGCAGTAGGGCAGTTTATGATAGATAAAAGTTAATTTCGCTTGGGAATCACAGATCAATCAAAAGCAGCTCTATTCTCTTCGATTTGACACATACTGGGAGAGAGATTAGACGCACAGTAAGGTTGCCATTCTTCGAATATCTAGCGGCTTTTATTTGTCTTCGGGCAAACTAGCCATATCCTGTCGAAAATGTAAACTGTATAATAAAATTTATTGCTTTTGTTTGTGAAAAGTTCCTTTTGAAATACAACGAGTGATTTTGCATTCATGTGACTCGAACGGAAACGATCGTAGCATTGAGTATGGTATATTTTTGTTTCCTTATTCCGCATTGGTCTAGACGTACTAGCGTTCGTGGTAGCAGGCAAGTGGCATATTATTTGACTGGATATTCGAGGCGATTTCTGCAGTATATAGACAGTTGTCGGATTATGATTTCATCTCAGAGTTTTCTCAATTCTCATTGGCCTCTGTCACCGACCTTAGCTACTATATAAAAGTACATAGGCTAAATTCTCTCGTACGAGAGCTGCGTGGGAGTGTTGATTAGAGTTCGACTGGTCAAATGAGAGCAAAAACATCCAACAATTCTCATCAAAATTTCAACCAACTTTGAAGTTGATAAGAATCGACGAGAATGCAAGAGAACGCGAACCAAAAGTTGGAGCTCTCATCAACTCCCATCCCGTTTGAGCGAGGGTTTATTTTAACACAGGACAAATAAGGAATAACCCTTCTGGGACATCTGGAAGAACAGGCTGACCAGCTTAGAACTGCGGATTCAGTTTTCTTGCCTGTGCCCTCTATCAGTGACCACCACAAGGCACAATAGTTCAAGTCATATTTCGCCATTTTTGAATTATAGTTGTGCTGGGGAACATCGCTGGAAAACAATCTTTGTTTTGTATACATGTGGCCTAAATTAGTGATCTTTCATTGTCAAAACAGTTAATAACTTTTGAGATAACATTTGACCCACTTGATACAATGAAGATAACAACAGTACCTGATTGTCCGAGCCCTATTATCAATACGTCAATTTGCACTCTTCTCCTAACAATATTTGTTACTGCTGTCTGTAATCTCTGTATGTGAACGAGGTAGGGCATATATATTGAAGCAGCATGCATTATAGATTCTGTTGTGATAAGCATATTTGGAGATCAGGAAACAATTGAGACATCGTATGTCACTGAAGATCAACTAACTCTATTTATACTGGATAACTCTATCAGTTCTAAACTGTTCTCCCTAGAGGTCCAGTAAGAGTCAATCTCTTATTGATCCAGTGTTAGTACTACAGGAGGAAACCTAAACTAAACTAAACTAACTTCACTTATACTGGATAGCTCTATAACTTCTTAACTGTTCTTCCTAGAGGTCCAGTAAGGATCATATCTTGTTGACCAGTGTTACTGCAGAAGGAAACCTAAACTAAACTAACTTTATTTATACTGGACAGCTCTATCAGTTCTCGACTGTTCTTCCTAGAGGTCCAGTAAGGGTCATTTCTTGTTGAAGTAGTGTTATATTATCGTTAATGCACACTTGATGGTTCTACAGTATATAAGTCTGTACTTGTACGGGTTATTTTCCCCAAAACTTGCCCCAGTCTGCAAATACATCACACTCTAAAAATCTCGCAATGATCGATGGGATGCTTTAATCAGAACAACACGACGCAAAGGCCCATGGGAATACCCATACATTACTTCAAAACAGTGTTTCAAAATGATGACTTCAGACTTCTGGAAAATTTGAATTAGTCGCATTTTATAGAGAAAATAGTATGACTAAATATTACTATGATATTTAGATATGCAATCTGCCCTGCAGTGAAATAAGCCGCAAAATACTTGAACGATATAACGACCTCGCTAATTATGTCAAAAATACAAACATGTGAGAATAATGGTGAACAGTGATTATATTTTAAACATATGGAATGCAGATAACCCATGAACACTCGTATAAACATATACGTATGTTAACCAACGATCGATTGATATGTTTACTTAATGTGATCAAGTATTAAACCCCCCTCTTCCTCAGAGTGCCAGAGTTATCAGTTCTGACAGTTCAGTTGACTCGACCATTCCAAGGCCAGGGAGTTACCGCTTTGGTTGGTGAACTTCCCTATAGTTGAAAAACTCGCGTGCAAGTCGTAGGGTTCATTTCGTTATTGTTACTGTGGACATTTTAAGCTCTAGATTAACAAAATAAAGATTTGATGAGTGTTTCGACTATGTTTTAACTTAAATAGAATACATGATAGTGTTGGGAAAGTATTAAGAACAGCTAACCAATGTCGCGTGACTACCAACTCTCATGCAATCTCTGGGCTTTAGGCCTTGGTTGTCAAGCACTTGTGTCATGAGCCTTTACTTGGGGACAAAAACAAATTAAAATTGAGACATTATTATGTCAAGATATTCCCAAGTAGGTCATTATGAACCCATTAGTTAAGGCATAACCACACACAGATTTTTATCTTTGACAACAATGCAATATATCGCATTTATTTTGCAATATGCGCGCAGCTGATTATAATTTCACAATATTGTGAGAAGATTGCTTCTATATGCTACAGCATCGATCTTTATTCCACTTATACATGATTGTATCAGGAGTCTAGTACTTAGTTCTGTTCATTTAATTGGTTAGTTTAAGGAGTAATCCTTACTGCGAACAGTGTAGAACTGATAGATGTTGATAAGAGGTGGGGTGTGTGTGTGTGGGCGAGGGGGGGGGGGAGTTCACGTGTAAATTTTATTTTTTAATGCCTTTCGTTAGCCTATAATCTCACCACTGAAAGTTCAATATAGAAAGACTCTTTTAAAACAACCGATACATACAAAGTATTCACCTTCCCACTTCTCTCAAATAAATGCTAGTTCCCGGAAAAAAATCCCTGCCAATCACAGCTAGACATGCGCTTATCACGTGAGCTAAATCGATGCCGAAAAAGGAAAAAGTCGCTTCGCGGAAAAAATACGCCTCGCGGAAAAAAATACGCCTCGCGGAAAAAAATTCGCCTCACGGAAATCACGTTTCACGACACAAAATCCCGTCATTTCACATTCCGTAAGAACAAATATTGGCAATTCACGGCTTACGACACCCAGCTGTTTAGAACTATATCCAGACTAAATAAGGTCATATGTGGTTCAAGTTAGGCTTGTTTATACTACACAGTGTAACTTTGAAAAAGGTGTTTGCTACGTAAAAAACAATGAGTCGATTATATTACTGCGCGTGGAAAGGGATATTGCACAAAATGTTGCGTTACCAATTTATTTTGTGACTAGACGAAATGGATATGACTCGATGTCGAAACAAAATTATATTAGATAAGGTTCTAACATATATTAGTAGCGTAATTATTTAGAAGATTCCAGATGGATTTGGCTCGTATACCATCGCGTGGGAACGAATCGCATGGAGTCTATTCTGATCGCGATATTGGCTACATATTTTACTCTTAAAATGGACATGCGACGAAATTTCGATATTGAGATTTTATGCTCTGTTATGAAGATTTTATCTCTCTGCGTAAAATTCTGCCAATCTTGTTGTAGCAGAATTGTTGTAGCGCGATTTTTCAGTTTTTGAAAGTTAACAAAACAGCCAAGGACATTTCAAAAGATATGTAGACCAAATAAGTCAAAATGTTATAGCGCTTCTAGTATAAATATTTGCAAAACTTAAACTACGATCAAAGTTATCGGTCGGTGAAAATCGAAAAATCGCGCCGCGTTGTCGAATCGCGTCCGGTGTGTCTGGCTGGGCCTTCACATCTATGTTCACATGCATGCAACATCTACTATAGCCGTAGGGTGCAGACTTTAATTAGGTTTAATTAAGCACTTTAACGAGTTGTGATGTTTTATAACCATGTTTTCGCACTGATGTTTCTTGAAGTCTCATCGTTGAGCCATTTCTAACTAGTTTTAAAAAAATTTTTAAAGCCCATTCAACTTCCATAATTACGATTATTATACGACTGATTATTGTGCAGATATGATCAAATGCATTTCACGTCAAGTGTTTCGCTTACCTAATTACATACTTAGCCTAGACTATTTTATCTTTACAACAATTGTGATGTTACTTTCTTAACCGTGTTTATCCTAACCCACCCTGTCAACTTTCCCTGTGGGAGGAAACCAGAGAAAACCCATGACTTTTGGCAAAGCGATGACTCTTTTCACACGAGTCCGTAGCGAGGATCGAAACCAAGAAATCAGAAAGTGAAAGGCGCTTGTTTTGACGATAGCCATGTTTGTTTCTTCAATAGTATCTTTGAAGTTTGTCGGCTTGCGTAACCATGTTAATAATATATTAACAGTGGCTCCAGTAATTCTGTGAACGGTATATATCTGCATGAAAATGCTAAATATGTTCAAGTGCTATATATTCATGTGAATATTAAGATAAGTGTACACTAGCATTTTGTGCTATTTGTGGTTAAGACTTAAGTGTGTATTGTCAACGTCATCACTCATTGCAAAGTCGAAATAGAGTGAGATTTAAACAATTTAAACCTTTTTGTGCATGTGTTCATGCATACAGCTTGAAACGGTTGTAATGTGGAATTAATTTCAAAGCAAAAATTTTTGAAATTTTCTAATTTCAAAGCCAAAACTCAAACCAGTAAACTCTATAGAGCTTTAAGCACAAAAAGCAGAATGGGGGCACGGAGCTCGTGTTTTGCAATGCTGATATCATAATATGGACCAAATGGAAGAATTAAGAAAATTAAATACGCTTAGCCTATAAAGAGGTCACGGTTTTGCCAATTGTGAATTATGATTGAATTAGCTGTATATGTGACGTCACAGTGATGGGTTCGATCCAAATGACGCATGCTGCGTCCCGATAAACTGATTGCAGTTGGATTATAACATGGAGCTGAGATTCACTGGAAATATAAATCATTCAATGATTTTTGTACTAGCATATTTTGTTTCTTGTGTAAAGCCTATATACGTTTCCATATTGTCGTATAAATGGTCGTAAAAATAGAGTCACGATCTTTCTCAACGGCCAGTTTATATTAGTTTACACCTGTAAACCACATATAAATCATAAGTATTCTATAGTTATAATCACTCCGCGTATTTTCAGTTTTGAAATGTTGTATTTCGGCTGATGAGAAAGATCGTGATTCAATCTTTACGACCGTATATGGAGACCATATGGAAACCAGGCTGCAAAATAAATCAAGGTACACTTGAGGAATATATTTTCTTATTTGAAGCAAATCAACCGGAAACAGATTGTTTTTTTGGGCAACTTTTTGCATATTTAAATTTGATAATTGAACAGTTGAAACCTTGATATGCATATTCTAATTCAGTCTCAGCTGCATGTTATAGTTCAACTTAAATTGAGCGCGACATATTAGTTATAATCGCTTCAGAGTGGGGCCAAAAATCAACATGTTATTTTTTATCTGATCGTTGCTATTTATAAATATTATAAACACTTAAATTAAGTAGCCCCCCTTTGGGTAATTGAGACTAAATTGATCGACTTCCTGGCTTAGAGGAATTTTTAACTATTTTCCTAAGTGTTTATCAAGCTATTATGTACTCTAATAATTGTTCAAATATATTACGGATTTAGTATTAAAATGGCTTGCCGGTAATTTGAGCCAGCAGTGCAATTGACGGTTGTGAAAACATGGCCTTTTTAGTTGTGCAAATTAATTGATCAAATCGCAAATGCATTTAGGAAACACTTTGTGGGCTCTTAACATTAAATAGGGGCGGCACTTAACATTAAATAGGCCCCCTTCAGCGTCACATGCAAGTCTGACCATGATTCCGAATAAAGGTTTTTTCGAACGATAGAAAAGGTGTAAAAATCACGTGTTCTAAAACTGACTCATTTCGTTCGAAAATTAGTCCATCTAATAAAAACCCGTCTGTTTCAATACACCCTTTCGATAATTACGTCACAACTACTCTTTTTTCTACTTAGGACCATCTTAAATGGAAAGGATTTCAAGTTGTTTTTTTCTCATGGGCTATGCACAGAGATGCAGAACATTCTTCTTCAACACATGCATGAAAAAAAATTCTTTATTTTGACCAATAAATGTGGAAATAAGCTTTAACACGAAAACGAGGCCCCAGGTCATGACTTGGGGCCTCGTTATCGTGTTAATGCTTATTTCCATATTTATTGATCAAAATCCAAAATTTTTTTCATGCATATATTGAAGGATGTTCTGCTTCTCTGTGCATAGCCCATGAGAAAAAACAACTTGAAATCCTTTCCATATAAGATGGTCCTAAGTTGAAAACAGTGTAGTTGTGACGTAATTATCGCAAGGGTGTATTGTATCACATTTCCGTCAAATATTTCAGAAATCCTTCATTTTGTCATTTGTGTTGAAGATTACCACAAACTGTCACAAACAGTTTTCAGTCCAGTCCCCCCTCGGCAATCTGACATCCGTGTTGACAAAAATGTCGCTTCTAACCCAAAGAAGACATCCATCCTTTTAATCGTATTTTGAATTTCTAGGTGACATTCACCAAAAGAAAGTTTGGTCTGATGAAGAAGGCGTACGAGCTTAGCATTCTGTGTGATTGTGAAATAGCCCTGATCATTTTCAACTCTAGTAACAAACTGTTCCAGTATGCTAGCACTGATATGGACAAGATATTACTCAAATATACCGAGTATAATGAACCGCACGAAAGCAGGACGAATAATGATATTTTGGAGGTAAGGACGATCTCTCTCTCTCTCATCAGTGTAATCACCATCATTGTGGCCCCTGTGTTGGAAAATTGAATTTAAATTGTTCGTTTAGACTATTTCAAAGAAGGAGAATAAGTCAATGCCATCACCTGATGATTCAGAGAAGGTTAGATTTTGTTCAAGAAAGGAAACGTTTTGTGTTGGTCTTGCAGTTGAAGTTTACATTTGAATATTTGTGAAACCGTTCTCTTCTTCTAAAATTCAGCAGTTTATTCTGACTCCTGGAACTGAAGCAAAGTATAAGAAGATTAATGAAGAATTTGATTTGATGATGAGGAAGAACAGACTTAATCCAACATCTGTAAGTTTGTAAAAAAGCCGGGATTGAATTCGTAGTTGTTCAATATGAAAACTTTGTCTGACAATATTCAATCTTTCTTTCTTTCTTCGTTTCAGACTGATGGTTTTAATAGTGTGCCAGTGGCAGTTCCTGTTTCGCAAAATGACCATTCACAATCTGGTTCATATAACACTGGTCCTAGTCACCCCAGTAATCAAGGCACACCTGGACCAAACAATTCTGGCTTGCTGTCTCCCCCGCCTCCACAATCTGGAAGGCTGTCAGCTGGGCCACAATCCGGAAGATTGTCAGCTGGGCCACAATCCGGACGATTGTCAGCTGGGCCACAATCCGGACGATTGTCAGCTGGGCCACAATCAGGGGGAGGTATGCATCGAATTACAGGTTAGAGCTGTGGCGATGTTGCTTATGATGATGTATGTGTGACTGACATTTGGCGACGTACGGAACGTTTTACTTAAACCTAACTGGACGAACCTAGTACATACTTTGGACAAATTACATTGATGGGATATGCATGATAGAATACGTAAAAGTGTTCAGCGTATTTACACTGCCACCTCGACTACCACAACTTTTGCCTGAAACTGTCGCATGGAACCTTCTTACAACTTGAGTTGCACTGTGTAAATCAAACATACAACTCACCCACGACAATGTTAGCGAGTTGTGTGATTGATTTACACAGTACAACTCAGGGATGCCGGAAGATCGATAATAGCGGGTGCAGATATTCATATATTCGTGTTCACAGACTGTAAAAACAATCGATTTCAAAAGAAATTAATTGGGCAGAACAGGAATATATGAATATCTGCACCCGCTATTATCGATCTTCCGGCATCCCTGGTACAACTCAAGTTGTAAGCAGGTTGCATGCGACAGTTTTAGGCAAAAGTTGAGTAGTCTAAATCGACGTTTACACGCTGCAATTTGTCGTGCACGATTTGTATTCGCCAGTATGAAAATTACTGCTGAGTGCTGACGCGACCACTAAATTTACGCATGATTATTCGATTGCACAGAATACCAATCGTACACGACAAATGGCAGCATGTAGACGTACCAAAGGCGTGTTTGTCTTTTGCGACTTTGCGTGGGTGGTCATTCGCTTTTGTCATGGGGAGAAAACCACTGAGCTATTACCTATACTGTATCTGGACTGAGTGCTAAACGTGTCCTGGTGCTTGCCTTATATGACGTCAGCAGGAAATGCTCAACAGTCAACATTGCATAATGATGAAAAGAAAGTCTGACAAAAAATCCTGTCTGGCCTCATATAAAAGACATAAAAAAGCCAAAATCCGACTTTCATCTGATTAGTCTGTCAGAAAAAAATTTAATCAGTGTCTTTATTGGTTAGTGCTAATTAGATTGTAGTATTTATTAGCAGTTTTAACTATAATTAGATTGTTGTTGTTTAGTTATGCGATAAATATAAACTTTATATTGATTGGATACTAAATATAAACTTTACTGTGGGACTGCATACATTTCTCGTGGTCATTGAGCGCTCAGTCCAGATTAAAGTATAGGTCAGTAGAAAAAAACTCCCCGGATGGGAATTATAGTTAGTGTTAATATATGCAGTATTGGGACTAGATTTTAAGAGTTACGGCTCGTTTGTTTTGAAGGGGCATTCGGATAAAGTATTAATATATAAATAAAAAATAAATAAAATTAAACAAATAACAAATTAGTCAAACAAAAATACAATGGTATAGATAAGACGGGAATCGGTTATATTAATCTATGTTCTAAAATAAATTATTAATTGTTATCGTTAGTCGTGCTAAAATTTATAAAAAAAATTAAACTAAAAAGAGCTCAATGAAATAATGGGAAAAGCGAGTTAAACTTGAATTGGTTATAAATGGTTTTATATTAATCTGTGAAATAAATATTATTATGGTAATATCAATGTTTCTATAGGGAAACTTGTAATTTAAATATTGTATGAAGTTTTAAATAAATTATTTTTATCTATATATATATATATATATATAAAGACTGGTATTTTCCAAAACCGCGGATCTTCGAAAAAACGTGTCTTGTTTTCGTCTCGCATTCCCACGCCTATTATTGCTAAAATGTCAAAGTCGATTTTACGACTTTGAATGTTTTGACACGAAAACATGACACGTGTTTTGGGCGAGAGGAAGGATCCGCGGTTTTGGTAATAATTCCTTTGTATTTGCCGGTGACACTGGCAGCTTGGAAGAGTGAATGTCATGATATGTTTGCACCAAAACACCAACAATTACAACAAGATCTAGAACAACTACGACGACAGCAACAACAACGACGACGACAATAACAATAACAACAACACCAACGACGACGACGACAACAATAACAACAACAACAACAACACCGACGACGACAACAACACCGACGACGACAACAACACCGACGACGACACCAACACCGACGACGACGACGACAACAACAACAACGACGACGACGGCAGCAACAACGACGACGACAGCAACAACAACAACAACAACAACAACAACGACAGCAAAAATACCAACAACGACAGCAATAATACCAACAACGACAGCAATAATACCGACAACGACAGCAACAATACCAACAACGACAACAACAATACCAACAACGACAGCAATAATACCGACAACGACAGCAACAATACCAACAACGACAGCAACAATACCAACAACGACAGCAATAATACAGACAACGACAGCAACAATACCAACAACGACAGCAACAATACCGACAACGACAGCAACAATACCGACAACGACAGCAACAATACCGACAACGACAGCAACAATACCAACAACGACAGCAACAATACTAACAACGACAGCAACAATACCAACAACGACAGCAACAATACCAACAACGACAGCAACAATACCGACAACGACAGCAACAATACCGACAACGACAGCAACAATACCGACAACGACAGCAACAATACCAACAACGACAGCAAAAATACCAACAACGACAGCAACAGCAACAATACCAACAATGACAACAACAATACCAACAACGGCAACAACAAATAACAACAACGGCAACGACGACAATGCCAATGTATGGTTGATTCATTATGCCCGTTGTCCTCACTCTGCACACAAGTTCGCATAATTAAACATGAACAAAAAGATTGAGCAAAGATGTTGGCTATGAATTCACGTATCATCTTAGACCTTCCATATAAGGGTATCAACAACGATCGTTATTTTACTTGAATTATTTTTCTTTTACCCCCTCAGGTGCTACCAGTCCTGGTGTTACTACATCAATGAATTCTTCATTAAATAATTCAAACAATTCTGGAGGCTCTTCCATGTCAAAAAGGCCAGACCTAAAGGTTGTCATTCCTAACACAAGAAATCCATTGGTAAGTAGCTTACCGACTAATTTATTTACTAGGGTGGTCTGTTTGAATGAATGTAGACATAGAATAATTGTATCAATCTTGTGATAATGGACCATTTGCATTATAGACTAAATTTTGATCTAGACAAAAATTTCATCACAGCTTGAAAGAGCATCACAAAATTAGTAATATTCCAAAGTTTCGTTGCGAAATGTTGTAAAATGCGGAAAATATAGCCTTGCGAAGTTTGCAATTTTCAGTCATTTTAGATTACAAACAGGAA